AGATTAATTAATTTTGTTGAATTTATGTAGGTGAATTCCATTGGTGCACAAGTGTTGGAATACATATTAGATTTTTGAAACGCATCTACACCTATTCCTATAACTGAATGAGAGAGAGAGAGAGAGAGAGAGTAACTGATTGTTTCACCTTGGTTTCCACTGTGATATACGTTGCAGGTTTGATTTTGTTTTCCTTATTCTTTCTTTAGTTTTACTTACAAAAAGTGAAAAAATAATAGTTAATAAATAGAAATTAAAAGTTAAATACTTTTTATATAATGTGCATATGGCATGGATATATTGCAACTCTAGTTTTCAACAAAATTGATGAGAAGGTAAAAGCTGATTTTTATGCAATTGTCAAATTGTTTTCTTCATGACACATGTTGCTAATCATTTTCCTTAAGGGCGTCAATCAGGTTATAACTAATTATCCTTCAAAAAAATTGGTATCAAATACATACACATATCAATATAATAATTCACATATGTTTGTATAATACTAATTTTTTTTTCAGGATCCTCTGGTGATGCCATATATAAAGAATTGTGGCATGCCTGTGTTGGCCCCCTTGTCAATGTCCCTCGTGAAGGAGAACATGTTTATTACTTCCCTCAAGGCCACATGGAACATGTTTGTTATTCAATTTACTTTCAAGACTTCATTTTCTACCTTTCATGTGAATATTTTCTTTTTAATTCCAGACCACATGTAATGGCACATAATTTTGGTTATTCTTACATCTTGAGGCTTCCATGCATCAAGGATTAGACCAGTAACTCCCATATAATGACACATAATTTTGGGTAAGTTAGTGAGGGTAGTTTAGTCTTTTTCAGAGACCAATACTCATAATCCATTTGGGTATTTAAGTAATTTAGTTATGGATTCATTTTTTCAGGCTGAACCAGAAACAAAAGAAGTTTATGCACAAATAACACTCTTGCCTGACACAAATGTTTGTATATGGCCTGTAACTCGGTTTAGGTTGAACACAAAGCATAGCTACATCAGCAACCTATAATAATGATTTAGGGGTTGATTCTTTTTTACTTAACTTGGACATAATAATGACTTAGGTCTTTTTTTTGACTTAGTGGTCTTAATGAGTTAATCACTTAATCTGAACAAACTATACATGGCATGGTTGTTCCTTTTTTACTTAATGTGGACAAAATGACTTAATGGGTTATACCAACGATCCTGTCTTAATCTACTTCCCAAGTATGTTTAGTTTCAAATTCCAATGCATTTTTTGTAATGAAATAGTTAAACCCAATCCCAATCCAATATTTAATATTTTCATGGTGGTGGTGATTTAACGATTTTGCCCCTATTTGAATAGTTTTTGTCAACTGCCAAGCCATTGGCAAAACGTATTGCAGCTCCTTTATTTGATGATGTTGAAATAAAAGATTTGAATGTCTTTTATGGGGATGATAGCTTTTATGTCCTCTTAGGCTTCATCAGCAAAATTCAATTCAACATCAGCTGAAACAAAGTGGAGAAGCTCCAACAATACACTTCCTCTCCAGATCTCTACTCAAGGTCATTTTTTTTTAAATTCTTTATTTTCACTTAAATTAAAATCTTAATTAAACAAAATATTTATAGATTTAGGAATGCTTTATATAACTTGCTCGATGGGAAGCTCCAACAAAGTCACTTCCTCTCCAGCACTCATGGATGATGGAAAGGGAGGTATACTTGTAAGAGGTTTGGAGGAGGAGATAGTGTCTGATCTTTTTCCCTAAAACATTAAGTTTGGCAGAGAGACAGAGAAAGGCGGTTCACCGATGGGAGTGCCAGACGAACCAAAGCATCAAATCTGAAGCATATGGTGATGCAGTGAGGTTCTACATTGGAGCCATGCCAATATTTAAGGTTATTTGATCAACTTTTCTTTCCTTTGTGTTTTGTCATATCAGATGCTTATAAATCCATTTAATTCATTTATCTTTTTGCTCTGTATCATTACAATGTTGCTGATACAAGGCTTCGTCAGCATGTAAAAATTGAATCTTTTTCAGGTCATGGACATGCTTGGACCTAGTCTTTGGGATGCTTGGAACAAGCCGCATGAAATAGATTGTTAGTATGAAACACAGAGTAGATTAGATGAATGCAAATTTATTTATTGTAAGAAATAGAATTGTATGACATTAAATTTTAAGCAATGGATTGTATTTTTTATATGGTATTTTATTTCTATTATGAGACAGTAAAAGAAAATTTAATTTAAAAATTAATAAATAAATAAATATACTTTTTTAAACATTTAAATTTACGATACGCAAAAATGTGTGTCATCTTGATTTATGACATGGCCTTTCTTGACAGGGGTTTTAATGATACGCATTGCGTGTCATTAACACGCGCGTCGTAAGGTTACGACACGCGAATGCGTGTCGTCTTCCTTTATGACAGAGCCTTCCTTGATACGCATTGCGTGTCATAAATGCGCATCGTAATTGCACGTCGTAAATGAGCGTCGTAAATACGCGTCCTCTATAGACGACGCGCAAAAGCGCGTCGTCTCTCTTTATGACAGGGTCTTCCTTGACGCGCATTTGCGCGTCGTCTGAGCCTTTTACGACGCGCAATGAGCGTCGTAAAAGGCTGTTTTTCTAGTAGTGTTCAAAGCCAAATGTCACACAATAATATTCATCTTAATAGGAACTAAACATCTCTATCTGGTAGGGTTAGGATTGGTAATCAAAGAATGTTTATAAATAAAAGATCTCACTGAAGAAACATCACACTCACCCGAACGCATCATATTCTAAACCTAATGATCTCGTTGGCCATCCAAAAGCAATCTATTAACAAATGATTATTAGTTGTTAATAGACTAAGCATTAAAGATAAACCTAAATGTAGTGGTTGGTTATGGAATGCAATAAAAATATATGATATTGGTCTAATCAGGTTTTCAATTAAAAATGAGATTCATCTAAGGAATAGCCATAATCATACGAATCACATTTCCCTAATATTATATATGTATGTTTTTCTTATACGATGAAATCATAATGTTGTATTTTAAAATCTTACCTTTTTCATAATCATGATATTTGAACATTGGTCAAATAAGTCTAGGGTGTACATAACATATACCAATAAGGTTAAATATCATCAAAACCAAGGTTGTAAAAATTGTTAGGCGGAAGCTAATCAGTTGACAAAGGTAATAGATTAATTGATGACCCTAAATTGTAAAAGAATGTATTTTTATATTTCAAAAAAAATTATATTACCACATAGAAAAGTCTGTGATTCGTTTTATTCTTGGATATACATCAAATATTATACAAATAGGTAAAGTTGAAACAACTTGCAAATTTTGATTCATTTTAAGCTCGAATACACATGAATAGGGGAGTATCATAATGTAGGAGATCAAACACCAACTTCACATTTTATTCAAATGTTGGTTCATTTCAATCTTTTGCAAGAATGGACTTATTGGAGATTAAGAAATCGGAGATAAAAAGACAGGTGTGAGAAATCAATGATAGAAAGACAGTTGCCGAATCTAATCATAAATCAAGTATATGCCTTACTTCAAGCACACATCGGGAGAGATAGAAAAAAAAAAAAAAAAAAAAAAAAAAGGTGCGAGAATGCAAGAGGAAGAGTCGGAGAGAAAAAAAGTAGGTGTGAGAGGGAAGAGATAAGAGAGAAACATTGATCAGTGTTAGCATGATGTCTAGCATCAACGTAAAGGTCAACATCAAGGTGATGAGAGATGAAGAAACATATTCGTTGGCGTCATGAGAACCAAAAAGACGTGAAACTGAAATTATGGCACTTAGTTTACTATTCAAGTAATTTATTTATTTTAGTTTTAATTTTTTTAGTTTTTGTCAACTTATTTTGATAGTTTTCACTCTTTAACTAATTTTGACCGTTTAGCCTGATTAATGAGTGGCTTTCAGTGGCTTTCACCAATGTTAATCGGGGCTCCCTAATACAACCTATTATCACTATTTTTTTTTTTGGGCAGGGGGATGGGGACCACCAAACACTGATTAAGCGACCGTCTAAACCTATTTTACATTAAAACAACACATCGTGTATTTATAAGACAATAAATTCTTGTTACAATTAATATTATTCAAGTTAAAATTAATGGATATTTTAATATGTGTCATAAGGACATTAATTTAAGTATTAATTATGATAAATATTATCATAATTAAATATGATAATTTTTTTTTTGAACCGGTAAATCTAATCTACCCCTAAGCTAACAACACATATTCTACCTATGTCCACGAGGGGACTATAATAATAATCTTTATAATTAATGAATTTTATATTTAACTATAATAATATTGCATATAATTAATTTTCATAAATATGATAATATTTTTTATAATTAATATTTCAATTAATGTTTATTATAATATTGTATCTTTAGAAAATCTATAAAACTATATAAGTTCGTGATCAATGTTGGGTTTTGTATCCTAAAATTTAATAAACAATAATAGTTTATAATGTAATGAGAAATAATTGGAAATTCTTTTTTAGGGTACTGATATGATTCAAAGTGCTTATTTGTCAACTAATTGATGTATCTAACGGCGAAGATTCGGATATTCTACTCACTCTAAACAATTATGTAGGCGACTTGTACGTATATCAACACGTAGTCATGTAATATCATTTACTCAATGTTTCATTAAATTAATAAATTGTGTTAGATTTTGATAAAAAAATGCAGAGATATTTGACTTTCAACTGGTATCAACAACGAATCAAAGAGCATATTCGGTTTGTTACAATACTAATGTTTTATTTAAATAAACTAGATAAATATATTATATTATTATTATATATTAAACAAAAAAAACGTTCAATCATATGGTTATACCTCAATAATCATATCATTAAAAATCGTGAAACGGCAGACGTCAACATATTCTAGAAAACTATATTTTGTTATTTTTTATTTAATATGAAAAAAGAAAAGTAATAAACTATAAGGTTGAGCCTTTCAACGGTTGTCGCGCTCAACGGGACCATATTACATAGTTTGTTTCGCACAACACATTCACAATTCACAAACAGATTCACCAATCGCAACCATTGCCGATTGGGTCAAACAATGGCGGAGAAGGACATCGAATACTTAGGCTCCGGTGTCCCGGCGCCACCTCCGATTAACATAATCAACTTTGAAAACTATAGAACCAGCAACGGCAACGGCGGCGGCTGGAGTGGCGGCAGTCATAACGAGATAGAGATAGTGGAAGAAGACGAGGAGGAGGAGGAGGATGTTGGTGGTGGTCGCTTTGGAGGATTCAGCGTAATGCCGTCGATTACAGAAGAATACGATGGTAGCAATCCGAGTGATTTGTTTTCTTATGATATCAATCGAAATATCAACGACGTCGTGTATGTGGTGACTTGGAGAGGAACTGAGGAAATGTCGTCGGCAAGCATGGATGCGCTGCTTTGGACTCTCGGCAACAATCTTCATGACGAGTCCACCATTGTCTATCTGGTCTACGTCTTCCCTGAGATCCGCTTCCTTCCTACTCCTCGTAAGCACACAATCATACTACTGTCTACTGAAATTTGTTTGCCAGTCGATCGTCATCTCCGTTTCAAATCCTCCAAAACAATTGATGATTAGCATCACTTCGATACTCATCAACATACATATAATCTGTTTCTCACTAGTTTATGTATGTTACGAGTATTAAAAAAAAATGTTTTAAGAGAGTCGAATTAAAATTATAGCTCCATAGATCTAACACCTTATTGTCATCGATCGTTCTAAAAGTAGGTTAGGGTAAAGGAAAACCAAATCTCATGTTCATACGCGTTTTCAACAAACTGTTGACTGTGATGACAAACTAATTAATAAAATAGGTGGTTAGGTGAATCAGTACTAGTAGGAATACCAGTTTTTTGTGCTAATTTAAGCTAATTTAAATTTAGAGCTCCAAAACTCCATGACCCCTGTTTCTTTCTCCATGGATGTTTTTCCCTCTTTCTCCATTGATCTCATCAATGAAAATAGTCCTAAGAAACTTGACTAGTACAGTGTAACAAATGCAGCCTAAACACTAAATGGTTTAAACCAAGATTTTAAAAATTGATGTAAAATGTACAGTGGGAAGGTTACCAATAAGTCAGGCAAACCCAGACCAGAAGGAAAACTTCCTAAATCAAGAAAGAAGGAAGAGAAGTGAATACCTCCAAAAGTTTCTTTCTTTATGCTCTTCTTCAAAGGTCCAAGTTGAAACCGTGCTTATCGAGAGTGACATGGAGGCAAAAGCCATACTTGACCTCATTCCAATTCTAAACATAAGAAAGCTCGTGTTGGGTGCCACCAAATCTACCATAAGGTGCACAACCCCTCCAACCCACCTTCTTATGTTTTCATATTATGTGTTTATTGTTTAATTTTGGTCTCCCAATAATAATATATAGAAAACTCAAGAGTAGCAGCAAGAAAGGAGGTGGAGGTACTATTGATCAAATACTACATAATGCCCCGGAGTTTTGCGATGTTAAAATCATATGTGAAGGAAAGGAGGTCTCATTGCAAGACCAGTTATCAACTGAGCCATCTTCCCCATCATCCTCAATTGCTCCAACTCCACGTGGAGACACTACTGTCAGCACCCTAAAACCTGTGCCAGTGGACCACGGCTATACCATTGGCTTTGTCAATTGCAGCTGCTTCAAGCTCTAAAATCACAGGACACATCACCATTGGCATTATACCTGAACCAGTCTCCTTTTCTTTTCTTTTCAAAAAGACGTAAATATCCTCCCCATTTATCATCATAAAAGTTAGCCTACCAAGTAGTTCAATCCAGTTCCATGTAACTCATGTTATGTTGTTGAAGAGGTTGAGGTTTGTTTAAGTAAAAACATTCATATGTTACGTAGATTTAAAGAAAAACCATGTTTGTGGACTCTGATCGGAAGTTATTGGTAGCATACAACTTAAAACTTACACGGGCTCACAAATCTCACTTTCTATCCACAGTATTATATATCTAAGAGGTTGTTATATTACAGATGCAATAGATAACGTTGTTGTTCATCATATATTATATGGGAATAATGGAAATGGATCATTATCTTAATGAATTCACTCCCTATAACTTCACAATGACAAGATGCAATGCAATAACAAGACAACAATTACCACTCACAAAGTGTCATATGTAACCGATCGAAAAAAAAAAAAAAAAAAAAAAAAAAATACAACCATCCTTATCCACCCCAACCGATACACATACACAAACAAACTGTAAAATCCATAGGGGTATTTAGTCCCATCACTAGAAGAAATCAAACTCCAAGTAATTATCCGAACCCGCACCCACACCTGCACCTTTTTGGTTAGGAGCAGCCACCGGGGGTACATTAGTCTTTTCACTTGTGGAAGCAACCGGAGCGGTTGCCGAGAACCGTTCAAACTCAACCGGCTTCGGTACATCCGGCGGTGTAGCACACCGGATCAAAGCCCAGTTAACACCTTCAAAGAAGGGGTGTTGTTTGATTTCCGTAGCACCTCTTTTATATGCCAAACGATGTTGAGGCTCTTTCACAAGCAACCCCCGGATGAGATCCCGGGCAGAAAAACTGACCACGGGCGATTCGGGAAACCTCAGAGGCTGCCCAACAACGTTAAACAACGTTGCCCGATTGCCCGAACCTTTAAACGGGGTTCTACCAAACAACAACTCATACAAAAAGATCCCAAATGTCCACCAATCTACAGCGCTTCCATGGCCTTCGCCTTTAATAATTTCCGGGGCTAAATACTCGTGGGTCCCCACGAACGACATGGATCGGGCGCTAGTGGGTTCCGCCATGAGCTCGGGTAATGGGCTAACTTGGTTGCCTATTTCGTTTTTGATTTTGTTTTTTCGTTCTTTTTTGGATTTGCTTGAGAAGAAGCGAGGGGAGAAGCAAGAGGTGGGGACCACGCACGAGGGTTGGATACAAGATGGCTCGATGCAAGATGGTTGGACACAGTATACGGTGGACCTACGGAGGGGCTCGTTGTCCATGGATGAGGATTTTACTAAAGTCGGGCTCACAGTGCACCGAAGGGAAAGGTCAAAATCGGAAAGCATTATGTGTCCGTCTTCTCTCACGAGGACATTTTCGGGTTTTAGGTCTCGGTAAACAATCCCGAGCATGTGGAGATATTCCATGGCTAGAAGCACTTCCGCTACATAAAATCTACAAAACAAAAAATATTTGAGAAAATGATGGAAATGGAATCGAGGGAAAATTTGTAAATGGTTAGGTTTGAATTTAAGAAATAGCAACGTACTTTGATTGATTTGAAAAAAGTAGCTAATTATGGAAATGTTATCCATGTACAAATAAATGAGGATATTTAACACCTTACCTTTCTAGACATTGAAAAAGGACATTATTTTCTAATTAAGGAAAAAATGTAAGAGGTGGGTGGTCTGGATATAAAAGCCTTGATGCCAAAAATGAAGCAGACATTTAATCTTTCTACACCAATAATCCAACAATTATAGAAAGAAAGTTTCAGCTTAAATTTAAACCACAGACAGTCTTCATGTGATAAAAATAGTACAGGGAAAAAAAATCCAATGTTTCCTTGTATCCCAAATGATTATGATAAAAATCAAAAAGAGCTGAATGCAATTATAACATTCTACTTTTCTGCAAGCTTGTGTACATGATTTATGAAGAAATGAAGTAGGATGCTATAATAAACAGATCAATGAAAGTAAGTTGGTATTTCTTGCATATAATCTATATGAATGAAAATATAACAAAATGGAGAAGAAAGAAAGATGCTTACTTGACAGCTTGCTCGGTGAAGTGTTTCCCAGGTTGTCTCTGCCTAAGGGTATGCAAGTCTCCTCCAGGACAAAACTCCATAACCAAACATGAGAACTTATCAGTCTCAAAATGAGTGTATAGTGTAGGAAGAAACGGATGATCCAAAGATTGGAGAATCTCTCTTTCTGTTTGAGCTCGAAGAAGCTTCTTGCGACTTGCTAAAGAGGCTTTATCCATCACTTTCATAGCAAAATACGCTTTGGTCCCGGTCAACTCAGCCAAGTAAACACTCCCAATATCACCACATCCTAATCTTTTCAACAATCTGAAATGAGTTAAACCCAAAGCCCCATCTCTTGCTCGCACCACTTGAATGGCTTCCCACCTCATATCATTTGATTTGTGTGGCTTGTTGATACTGCTACTGAAACTACTACAACTGCTCTCATCACTCACATTGCTGCTTGTACTTCCTCTGCACATACTACTCTTCCCACTCTCCACAAGAGCACTCCCGCTTGTCTTCCCCAAACTGCTGTTTCCATCACTTGCTTTATCTGAAACAGAGCTGTTCTTTACGCTTCCTTTCTCTGCTACTTTCTTTTCTTGATCCATGGAAGCATCCGGGACCTTAGCAGTTTCTGATTGAGCAATCAATAGTTTGGAAGCTAGTTTAGCTTCCAAATCATCTGCAAGTACATGCTTTGTGGTGATTTGATCCAAAGATGGTGGCATAGCGCGAGTTTTTGAGGCCATCGGGTGATAATCAGGATCAACAGCTTCTCATGGTGGTAAAGGTTTCCATCATTTGAGTCCAACTCAAGTTATTTTCAGCTCTGTGAACACATTATAAACATATTCAAGTCAACAAAAGCGATTGGGGCTCACAGTAAAGCGTATTTGACTAAAAAGGGAAAGGAAGACTTGGATCGAACGCAATAGGCGGACATGGAAGATTCTAGACGAAGCGAATCCAGTCGCAAATTATCACAAAACGGTAATCAAAACCTGATCCAGGAGCTAGATCTTAAATTTAGCAAAACCGTAAGAAGGTCGAAGATCAATCATGCAACTCGATACTCAAAAAAGTTTGAAATAAATCGATTTAAATCCTGGAAAACAGAGAGAATATTGCTCAGATTGCAAGGACCACCGGTGAAAAGTTGAACAATTAGTCAATCAAATCAGGAAATTGACAAATGCAGTTGTTAATAGCATCAAATTAGGTTTAACTTGATGAATTAGAAAAAGCTAACCCGATACACCATAGATCCAACAAAATCTAGAAAAAAAAACAAGATACAGGAAAGCAAATCTACTGAAGCCATTAAAGAAAAACTAAGAAAGAAAGAGGAAAAACCTAAAGTTGAAAGAATCAGGTCCACAAGTTCATTGCTTTGATTTGGGAGCAAAAAGGAAGGAGCAAGTTCTCTTGTTCATGGCATGCTGATGATACCTGTGAAAAGATCGAAGAGAGAGAGAGAGAGAGAATGGGGAAAGTGATGCTTGAGAGTAATAAAAATTTGACTGGGCCTCGTCTTCAAGACTATGAATGAAGCAAAAAAGCTATTTTTATTTTGATTTTTTAATTTTCATTTAAAAAATCAATCAATAATTTAAATTGTTTTTGAGTCCCGAAACAGAAAGGTCCGAACTACGAATCAACATGCTGGACTCTTTCACTCTCGCCTGTCTGCCAAGCCATCAATACAACACAAGCACTCCTCCATGGCAAATTACCAATTTACCCTCCACCCTGTCTCCTTCACTACACTTCCACTTCACCTTTTGCTCTCCCAATCATATACTTATCTTTACTGTAGAAAATAATAATTAAAATATAAAAAAACTCCTAACTTTATGGGAGTCAAACTTCAATTTTTACACACCTTTGACTCCATACACTACATAGAAAAGATTGATTGATACATGATGCATGCCCATTCAATCATCCTTCTCCACAGAATCTCTCCAATCTTATCTTCAAAATCATTCTTATTTCTTGAATATATTTAAAGTGTCGTATAGTGTCTATTAAACATTATTTTTCTAATCACAACATTTAAAATAAACAGTTAAAATAGTCTAGATACTTTTTCGATATGTTTCTTTTTTGACATATTTGTGAGCCTAAACATGCGAATGTTTGGATATTGTTTATAAGATAGCTAGAGTGACGATAACTGTGTTGGGACTTAACAACACGAGACAGTGTAGACTTGACTTGAGCACTTGGTGGACAGAGGGGAGTAAGGAGTTGTTATCGAAACCAACCATGTGTGAAGGGTGATGGTGAGGGGACCTGAAATAAATGCAATAAAGAAAGAAGTATAATGAAGACATGTCCCAATTAATATTGGATCGAATTTGTCATGATACCATAACAAATTGAAATACAATTGGCCCTAATTGACTAGGATGGGGACAAATTAATTTGTGACATTAAAAAACACATGGTAGGTTTGTGAATTGAGACCAAACAACCATAACTAACTAATAGCGTCGATATGTATTAATTAAGAAACTAATTAAACCCAATTAAGATGACAAACAAACTAAACAAACAAGATTACCAAATCAATTACTATCAACTCTTATAATGAATATCATAATCCAAATGGAAATGACCAAAAACATATAGTGAAGTTTGGGAGATGTTTTGTTTTGTTTTGTCACCACGTTGGTTGTCCAAAGCATCTTGTTCATGTCACCATCGTCTCAAGTTGTCATGACTTAACAATAATTTAAGAGTTTTGTGTGTGTGTGTGTGGACCTTCCCCTCTCTCAATAGACTTTGCCTACTTAAATATTAAATGGTCCAGTGGTTGCATTCATGTATGTCTTCTACTTAAGTTGACCAAGAAATTTGATTTTTTTTAGCAGTTGATAAGAGTTTTTTTTTACTGTTAGTACGTAGTTCAGTGAATATGACACATCGAGATTGGATTCAATTGAATATTAATTGATTAAATTATTAAACTAGAAAAACAAAAGGTTGGAGGGCAGCTAGGCCATCGGTATCTCGAAGCCTGAAAGAAAGGTTGGCAATCTTTGTTTATTATACGTGGTCCTTAGTTCTCACTTCATTTTAGTTTTATCTTTCTATCTATAAATTTTATTGTCCACATGATCATCTGACACGTGGCAGGCATGAAGTGTTATTGGGTGGGCCTCACTCTAATAAATTATGGTGAACTTGACTTGGGTTAGGTGTATACACAGTAGTTGAAGAATCAAAAGAATATATTCGGCACATTTGCTTACTTTGTATCTTGGGAGTTCAAATTTATATGTTTACCAGTTTTATGTTCCCGAGAATACCCTTGGACCCTAGTATTATTTAAGTACACCTATGGCTGGTCATGGTACAAGATGTGATGGTAATCATATTATATTTATATACATGTACAACCTGTTGGCAAGTTTTAGGCATGTCTTTCTCTAAATCTTATGTAAATATTTGTTAAAATTAGCGGACATAGACTGTTAAAAAGTTTTAGAGGGAAAAAAAAATTGAGTAATTCTGTATTTGCAATGTAATATAACAAGAGATAAGATGGAATATATAGACCGTTAGGAAAAGATCGACTAACAAACTCTATGACAACTATTCAACTAATACACTAACATTCCTTGTAATCAAAATGATAGAAGCAATGTGGGAGTTGGGCCATACATAAGCAAACTGAGTAGAAAGGGAATCCGTTTGTCTATATGCCAGCAATTTGAGTATTGTACAATATAGTTACCAGTATATCCTATATCGATTTAACACATTCCTATAAATGACTATATATAACATAGTTCCTATAAACGATTATATATATGTTGGAGTCTAACATTCCTCTATAAAGATTTGTTTGGAGAGTAAACTAAGAACTCCGTATTGTTAGTTGTATATTTGTATATTTATTTGTGATTGTAAAGTATCTTTGTATTTTTGGTATTTGTGTGGCCTTTCCATATTTTGCCCACAATCATAGCTCTTTCCAAAGTTTGTATTATATATTGGGGAATTCTATATTGTATGTTATGGGAAAATTTATCTATCAACATGGTCTCAGGCCAATAATCTACCCTTGACGTCTCTTTGTGTCGACCTCTTCTTCTCGTCTCTTCCTTTCTCTCTTAATTCTTCTCTTCAATGGCCACTACACTTGATAAAATGTATGGAATCACGAACATCAAATCCTATGCCCCACTAATTCTAGATCTTAACAGGCTAGAACCACTGTATTGCATATAAGGTATTCAGTCACCTTGATGGCACAGATCACAAACCAACTGATCAGGATTGGTGTACTGTTGATTCAATCGTCAAACAATGGTTGTTCGGCACTCTCTCCCAACCTCTCATTCAAACCATTTTGATGCCCGATGCAACAGCCGCTCAACTGTGGAAAGCCATCGAAGATCTCTTCCGTGACAACAAAGAAGCCAACACTATTGAACTCGAGAATCAACTCAGAAACATCACTATCGGTGATTCCACTGTCATGGAATGCCACACTAGTATCAAAACCATATAAGATCTTCTATCCAATATTGGCTCCAAAGTTCCGGAACGCACGCTAGTCACATACGCCCTCAATGGTCTGTCATCAAAGTTTGATCACATTGCTACTACAATTCGCCACAAAACTCCGTTTCTTACTCTCCTAGAGATGTGGTATATGCTTCCAATAGAAGAAGAAACATTGCAAACTCAACAACACCGCCTACCTCAAGCCTCTCACACGGATTCTTCATCTTCTCATCAAGTTTTGAATGTTCATCATCAGCCTCAAATCTTCTTTTTTTGGAAATCCTCGTGGCAACCATTATGGTGGTCGGAATCAGGGAGGTGGCAGAGGGCGAAATAACCATCAAAATAATGGTGGCGTGTCTTCTTTCTCGCCGACAGCAAACAACCCTATCGGTTGATGGGTCTTTATCCCAGCCGATAAAGAAGCTGCCGGGCTACTTCCTCCTCCAAATCAGATGCAGCGATGGCCCAGTACTCCTCAACCCCCTTCTCACCAACAACCAAATTGGCCCAATCAGCAGTTATCCCATCAATCTTTTCTTGCTGGACCTCAACAACTTCAGCCTTTTCATTGGCAACATGCCCAATTTTATGCAGATCAACCCACAACCCTTCCTTAAGCCTTCAACTCTATGAATCTTCAGGACCCCAACACTGCAGATAGGTACATGGATACCGGGGCAACTGCTCACCTTCATGCCGACTCTGGTATTCTAAATTCCATTAAAAATAATTGCAATAATTTTTCAGTCTTAGTAGGTGATGGATCTCGTATTCCGGTTACTCATATTGGTAACACTTCTATTTCTCAACACCGGTTTCGTCCCTTATATCTTAAAAATGTCCTTATTACCCCGCAAATTATTAAAAATCTTATTTTCGTTCGAAAACTCACTCGTGACAATAAATGTTCTATTGAGTTTGACGAATTTGGTTTTTCTGTGAAGGACTACCTCACCAAACAAATTCTCATCCGATGTGACAGCAAGGGCGAGCTCTATCCCCTCACAAAACAACTCCCTCAAACATTTATGAGTGTTAGTTCATCCATGTGGCATCAACGCCTTGGTCACCCAGGCTCTCAAGTCCTCCATCCTTTGTTATCCAAAAAATTTATCTCGTGTAATAAAAAAGATCCTAGTATCTTATGTCATGCATGTCAACTTGGCAAACATGTCTGTTTGTCATTTACTTTATCTGAAATTGTTGCTGCTTTTCCTTTTCATGTCATTCATTCTGATGTTTGGACATCACCAATCATGAGCCATAGTGGAATAAAATATTATGTTATCTTTCTAGATTAATACTCTCATTTTGTGTGGGTATATCCTTTGCGAAATAAATCTGATGGTTTTTCTAAATTTCTCCATTTTCGTGCTTATGTTCATAACCAATTCAAATCCGATATCCAAATTTTCCAATGCGATAATGGCAAAGAATTTGATAACAAACAATTTCATCATCTTTGTTACACTAATGATATTCACATACGTTTCTCTTGCCCATACACTTCCCAACAAAATGGTAAATCTGAACGTATGCTTCGTACTCTGAACAACACCATTCTAACTCTTTTGTTTCAAGCTCACCTTCCACCTACTTATTGAGTGGAAGCCCTACACATGGCCACTCACCTCTTAAATATTATCCCATCGTCCACTCTCCAACATGACACCCCTTTTCACAAACTCTTCCTCAAACACCACTCATACTCTCATCTTCGTGTTTTCGGTTGTCTATGCTACCCTCTTCTCAATAACACCAACAAAATTCAACCCCAATCTGTTCCATGCATCTTCCTCGGCTACCCTTCCAATCACAAAGGGTATCAGTGTCTCAACCTCCACACTAAAGAAATAATAATTTCCCATCATGTTATATTCGATGAAACTATCTTTCCTTTCAGTTCCATGACACCTATTCAATCTCCTAATTATGATTTCATTAACATTGAAGATCAAAGAAACTCCTTAAATAGTCCAACCATTCTGTAACGCCCGTAGATCCGGGCTAGTCAATTTAGAGACGATAGGCGTCAAAAATGAATTTTTGATGAAAGATTATTTAGAATGAATAATCTTAACTAATTTATAGTATATATTACAAGGTTTCCGTGCATATAAAGAACGCCGAAATCCGAGTTATAACGAAGAAGTTATGACATGTCGAGATTTCGCGGCAGAACCAGCACGACGTTGAATGACGTAAAAAGTGAATTTATGTTAGAGTGATATTTAGCCTTAGCAATCTAAACGAAAGTCATAAAGTTCGTTAAACCATGAGCATGCATAAAAAGAACGTCCAAATCTGACTTCGTATGAGGAAATTATGATTTTTCTAAGTTTCGACTTAGCGGTATGCAGCCCGAATACTCGATTTGAGATCGAGCGGTTTTTAGCCGAAACAATCTAAACAAGAATCGAAGATCTCGTTAATTGTAGTGAAACGATGAAAAGATAGGCGAAAACGGATGTCGGATAAAGAAGTTATGATTTTATAACGGAGTTGTCTCGGTCTACTAAAAATAAATAATAAAAAATAAAGTCAAAATTAGCCGACGGAGTCTAAACGAAAGTTGTAGAGCGTAGTCTCACCTACACGGGGATAAAGAACGTCGAAAACGGAGTTCGTCTGAGGAAGATATGAATTTTTGAAGTTTATTAAATATTTTCGATATTTAATTTAATTATAAATTAACCGATATTATCCATGGGGAGAGTCAGCGATCTGATCCACATTACGCCCATCGTAATGTAAAGTTATGCCCAACGTAAATGGGTTTCCAGCCCCCTATAAAAGGGTGTCGAGGGCAACCGACTTCTTTGCTCATTTCTTCCCTTTATCTCACGTTTTTTGCATCGTTTTTCGTGCAAGAATTATCCCGAAGCCCCAGTATCATTCCCGAGACCCGAAGTAAGTCCCGAGGCCCCGAAGATCCCGAGAAGTGAAATTCCCGAGCCGAAGCTCTTCCCGCGAGGAGTCCGGTTTTTGTGAAGATCTTCCAGATCTACCGAAAAATACTACTTCTACAAGCCGTAGTGTTGTCCGATCATCTTCTGATCAAGTGAGTTTGTAGTTACCTTCTTCTAACGCATAAATATCAAGTATTTGCTATGAAATACGTGTTATGTGTATAATATAAAGTTGTTTATATGTGTGGGTGTATAGTCTCTTTCATAAACACGGGTATAATACAAGTATTGTTTGAATGTATTAAGTATATGTTTGGGTGAACGTGTGGTTACTTTCTTCTAATGCATAAATATGAAATATTTGTTATAGAATACGTGCTATGTGTTTATATATTGTTGTTTATTTGAGATGAGTGTGGAATGGATGTTTTATATAGTTTTTAAATGAGTTAAATTGTATATGTATTTTATATCTACAAATATGTTGGGTAGAACATGGGTAGATGAGATAGTTGGTATGTGATAAAATGATGAGGTATGAAAGATGCGCTTAAGAATAATATCGGTAGATGCACCAAGTAGTGAATGTCGTAATCCTGGCAGGTGCGCTTATAGGATAATATCAGCAGATGCGCCAAATAGAGAATGTAATAATATTAGCAGATGCGCTTATAGGATAATCCTGGCAGATGCACTTATAGGATAATGTCGCAGATGTGCCTAAAATAGAATTTCATAAACCTGGCAGTCGCGCCTCATAGTGTATGACGTAATCCTGGCAGAGGCACTTAGAGGATGATGTTGGTAGATGCGCCTTATGTAGCAATAGATTTTGTGTTAATTCCTTAGGTCAATCCTTAGGAATGAATGAATGATAGGTAGTTGAATTCTTAGGGTAAAATCCTAAGAAATAAAGAAGATAATGGGGATGGGTAATTGGGTTGATTGTTTGATGGTTGAATATAATAATAATATTATTGTGGGTTGAAAACTCTATATGCTCACCAGGCTCCCAAGCCTGACCCACTCAGTTTTCTTTGTATCACAGGTATCGATACGAAGATATATTTCACGGAGAGATTAAAGGAGATGTAAAATCTTTATTGTAAAGAATGTAAATTTTGTTTGTGCTTATGTGTCTGTATCGGAACATGACATCCCGAGATTTTGTTATATAATGAAAATACATTTCTTTAAAAAATGTTTTGATAATTTTTATCATATTTTGTTTTGGGAACAAATTCCGCAACTATTTTCTTTAAAAGATTACTCTGATTTTAAAAACAAAGAATAAACAAATCGGTCTTTTCTGGCCGAGAAATTGGGGATGTCACAGTTGGTATCAGAGCATTAGTTTAAGCAAACTAGGAATTTGTAGAAAATTTTTAGACTTAAACTTAGAATGCTAAGTAATGATTGTGAAGAGTGTGTCTAAAATATGTTAGGTAGTACACCTAAATTGACACAAGCACTAGTTTATTTTAGGAAAGTTGCCTAAAATGCTTTTATGTGCTAAATGTTATATGTTGTCATATATGATATTATTTGTTCGGATCTATGGTCTGTTGCCGACCGGATCTGGAAACCTTATATGTATAGGATTCTAAGCGTACGTCTACGATATTAGAACTAGCATGTAAACGTTTCGGAGTGATAAGGATGATTTGAATATCTATCGTGAATAAGGATCTAATTTCACCTTATTCGGTGTATAGATCAAAAATGGTGAGAACAAGAAGTGAAGTTGGAAATGCTGATGAAATCAGGAATCAACCACCAGTGATTGAGCAAATACCTGTCATAGCAGCAGCACCTGAGCCGATAACAATGGTCGGTGTACAATTGATGATTCAGACGATGTTGGATCGTCAGATGGATGAAACGAGACATCTACTTCAACAGAATCGTGAAGAACTGTTAATTCAAGTGGAAGAGCCCGAAGTGAATGAAGGGCACTCGGAAGGTGGAAACTTCAGTGGATCTGTTGGTCAAGCCAACCCACCGATAATTAGGCAAAACAACCAGAATGGAAGGAATGATGGAATGGGATGCAAGTATAAGGATTTTCTTACTTGCAAACCATCGAACTTCACTGGAAAGGAAGATCCGATCGGGGTTATGGATTGGATATCGGAAATGGAGCTAGCCTTCATGACGTGTGGTTGCAAGGGCAAGTTACAAACCATATTTGCAGTGCGTCAGTTCAGAGGTGGCGCTGTTTGCTGGTGGAACACTCTGGGGAAGACCCTAAGCCCTAACGAGCCACTGCAACTGTCTTGGACAGAGTTCTTGGTGCAATTCAAGCGCAATTTCTGCTCGGCCCAAAACCTGCTAGAGTTGGAGAACAAATTTTTGATATTGAAGAAAGACAACATGTCAGTGGATGAATACACTAATTCCTTCACTGATAAGATGGAGTTTGCTTTGCG